CATAAAATGACTAACTATTCGCTGTTATAATTTTTCTAATGTTTATTATCTGTATGATATTTGGTAAGATTCGTTGTAGAAAACATGATAAAATTAGGTTTAAACGTAGAAATTAATTTAAATATATTATAAATTATGCTGAATTTCGGGAATCATGCAAATTTTGATAAAAATAAGGGCTCTCGCCACTAGTAGTTGTTAAGTGTCTCCAATACAACATAAATAGCTGAGATCAAAGTAACACGCCAACCCTAAATTTAATGTAATTAATTGAAACAATGGCAAGAAAACATTTGCAGATAATGTACATTAGAAAAATTATAACAGCGAATAGTTAGTCATTTTATGGAAGCGACGTTCCCGGATAGTCTCAAATGAAATATTAACTTAAATGCAATAAACATTTTGCAATGTATTATATATTCATTGTGTATGTGTATTTATCACAAAACCGTAATCGTGGATCAATAAAGAATCAGATCACAACAAACGCAAAAGCAGTCGGTCAGATAAAATACAATATATGCAACATTGACAAAGAATATGCACATAAGACAACATAGTAAAGAAAAACAACAAATAAAAATCATATTCGGCAAAGATCGATTCTTTTATACTCACCGTTTTCATCTCAAAAACGGCAAAAAAACAACAAACGCATAAACTAAATTCCCATACTCTATACTATTCGGTGCGCGTGATTGCTTTCTACCCTTCTTGTAGAATATGCATCAATATTTTAATCATATATCTTCTGTGGTTTATGTGTCTTACGCAAGAAGGTTAGAAAGCAGTGGTGCTTTCAATATACGTTGCACTCTGAGCGTGTCCTTTGTCTAATTTGTACAATTTTCAATATCAACTTAGATGCAATGACTTCCCAAGATATTTGCCGAATTTGAAGGCGGTAGCTTTTTTTTTGCGAATAGGAGAATGTTCACCAAAGACAATTCACAGACACGCGGACAGAAGGACATAGTTAAATCGGTTTAGAACTTGATGCTGAAGAATACATACACACAATAGAATCTCTCAAGCTTCGTTTGCGTTTTGACAAAATAAGTATACACCCTGCTTCAGTGGTGGGTATAACAAGAAAGTTTTTGTCATAGTGATGAAATTATTTGATCTAGATTTAAACGTTTCAATGAATTCAGTTTTCCATAACTCTTTATTTGTAAATAAAACTCCCAATTCAACCAAGGTACAGTTTTTACCAGTATTCTCACCAAATTATGTATCTCAGAATTACCTCAGTAAATATTCAACTCTATTTTTTATTATTATTATTATCTTTTCAACTTACCGGCCTAAAATTTTACTAACGCAACCATTTGATACTTGGAGTATGCGTGATATATCGCATGGCCGTGCTCCCGAATGGGCGAGTTCGACAATTTTCTGACGTGTTGAGTCGGGTAACGGGCGCCCATTAACATAAACGCCACCCAACTGATTGATACCACTATGACCGGCCGTTGAACAACCAAACAATGCACTTTGGCTAACCGATGAGGCATGGCCATGCATAATATGTTCTGTCGTTAGCATCATCATCGGGTAACAGCTGGCGGCGGTTTTATATATTCGTCCTTGATTTTTTGCTGAAATCGTTTGCAAATAGGTGAATATATCTTGGCCAATCGTTTGCTATTTAAGCTATTGTTGGCGCAACTTATTTTCAAACGCACAAGCAATAGAAAATACTTATTAAATATTTTTGTTATACCATAAACAAACATTTATGTAAAGCCTTTTCTTTCTTCCTCTCGTCCTCTTTCTTTTTTTCTTTGTTTAAGCCTCTATTGGGATCATGGTTATAGCCAGACTTAAATTACTATTTATATCATATGCAAATACAAACATATAATCGTTTTTCATTTTTTTATACATATATATCTTTTATTTTAAGTTTGTAGAGTTTTATATTATTATTGTAATTAGATTATTATGTGCATGTAGAAATATATAACGTACGTAACGTAATTATCGATTTTCCTATATATTTGTACAAAAGTGCGCCTTTTTTCAAATTTATCTTGTTGTGAGTATTATTTGTAAATGTGTCCGTGTATATATTTTTCATTTGAATGAATGCGTTGTTTGCCTTCTAAAATAATAATCACAATAATTGTTATTTTAATTTTGTCTCATTATTTTGAACGAATCAATTGACACGGCGGGTCTGATGGCAAAATTCACATGGACTTCATTTGGGTGTAGATATATTCACGCGATTCATTTTTAATATTTATGTTTTGATAAACATTTCTATAATTTAATTTTTTTTTTTAATTTACATTTTGTACTTTGCCAGAATGACTATGTCTTGTGTAACTGTAAACTCATAAAAATTTTACTGTAGAATATTCTTTGTCCTGTGTTATATCGTTACTATGCCTGTCGGTCCACTGGGATGATAAATAAATTATTCAAAGTCGGAGCTGTACGGCTCCTGTGTTATATGCTCAGGCGGATTTATATGAAACAGCGAAACTGTCGGCAAAACAGACTGTAAACAGCAATTCTGCTTTCTTTATTGCATTACTCTATGGCAAGTAGATTGTATTTTGTTAATTTTCTTTTAGTTTTACTTATTTATATTTATTTGCTCAATATTGAAATTGCTTGTACCCGGATGGCGGGCCCAGCACACAGGTTACCTTGATGTTAAATATGGTAAAACAATTTTACACTATTACAGTTGTTGATGTTATTTTATTTAGGCTGAAAAACTATGCACGTTTAACTCACTACATGCGTGTGTACAGTGCACTTAGCGAAGCGAAACAAAAATGAGCTCTCATGCGAAAAAATATCCCAACAAACGTGCCAACGTATTTTATAACGAACGATATTCCCAACCAAACAACCTTCCCAAAATCCAAACGACGAAGCCATGAATGAAAAAACTAAAACAACATCAACAAAACCATGGTAGCAGTAGCAGAGGCTGTTGCAAGTTAACAGCAATGGACAAATAAAGATCGAGAAGAGCTCGTAATATGCTTGTGCACGTATACGTATTTAGTCAAACATATAAAATACCGACCACTCTGCGAGCGCGGGTTGTGTGTTTGGTCGCACACACACACGTATATATATATATATATATATATATATATATATATATATATATGTATATGTATATATATATATGTATGTATGTATGTATATATATATATACCTGTGCGTATATACATGTGTGCGTACATATACGCCCCTAGTAATTTACGTAGTTCAACACGTTTAGCGCATAAAAATACTATGTTTTCAGTGGTAACGGTGATGTGTACACACATACAAATAAATATTTGTTAAGGGAGAAATCCAATACATAAATAAAAACCTAGAAAGCGTTGAAAGCCGAGTGCAAAATTTATCTCACAACACACTCATTTAACAAGTTAGCTGATTTCCCTGAATATGTAGTGATGCTTTTCTCTTTATAAATAGTACAAAATTTACCATCCAAAAGAACGCCTATTTGTTGCCACTCATCACAAAAATACTTCTATATTTTATTTAATCTTTATGTTTTAAAGCACAAGTGTTATAAAATATTTTTATCTAATATAAATAGGTCGCCTCCGTGGAGAAATCACCACGATAGACTGGATCAAACAGATTTATTAGCTCAATCGATAAAACAAGATGTGGTCATCTTTGTGTTCACATAGATCGTTATTAGCCTGTACAAGTAAGTAAAAATCAGTTCGCATCCAAATCTAGCTTTCCAGATCTGTTTTTTAATCTCCGAATTCCGTTATTATCATTAGATATTCATCTTGCAATTTTTCGGAAATAGTTGAGGTTAAATGCAGTTGCTTCCAATACTTGTAAGCATAAGTGTCTAAATCCTCGTAGAATCTTGACCAATCGACACGATCACATTTAGCAAAATATATGGCATAACAAAGCAAAAATAACTTTTTTATTTGTTCTTTATTACTCTCATCATTCTAAGTTCATAAATCCGGTAGATGGTGATGTGAGCTTGATTGCACTTATTATATAAAATGATTTCTAAATAAGTCGTGACTTGATAAATGGTTTAATTACATATAAGGTGTAACTAAATCTTATATGAACATATTTTTATACATGGCCAATACACAATTTTGATGAAAAGGCAGTAAGACCTTTTCTGAGGGATTGTTAAAACAAGCAGCTTTTTTTTAAACTAGCATATGTTTTAAACTTCATGACAATAATTTCAACTATTAATAAGATAAGCCTGTCTTCTTTTATGTACTAAAACGTTTTTTTCAGAAGTTAGACGCAGCTACAACAGACGAATATGGTAATTACGTGGACAATAGTTTGTGGTGGAAAATTATCAAGAAGTTGATGCAGTGTGAAAAGATCGTTGGAGCGCAAAAGCCAAAGGTTTTCCCATTCTGACCAATAGTCCTAAGTAAACAGCCCACATCAATAATATTTTATATAATAGGTCTGACGAGAAAAAAATTTGTAAGACACCTAGGCCCTACCACTTTATCATTCTTGTTCTTCTATATAGAAAAAATCTTTGCTCTATCGTGCAATAATATGTGACATATTAACGCATATGTACCTGATGAGGGGAACAAAGCAAAAATCAAACGACTAAGGAGTGATTTATTAAATTCGTATTAAAATAAACTAATAATAGTTGGTATTAAATAACACAATTTGTTGTTCGTATTTAGCTAGTTCCGTCGATGGTGCGTTATTATAATCCCCATTTATTCCCGTTAAATATATGATTTAGATGTCGTTTGAGCGTTACGAATCGCCTTTATTTCCTCAAAGCATAACTTTCCGAACCACAACGAACAGACCGTAGTTGCAATAGAGGTATATGTAAATGTCCACTTTCCAATCAATTTACAAGAGTTTTTTAACCCATCTAGTTGGCAACACTTACATATGTCTACGCTTAAAGAAGAATGGGCTAAAATACGCAAATAAAATATACATACTATTGTGAAAAATGTTTATACACCAATGCGTGCAGTTTTGCCTATCCACAAATACGGACATTCATGTGTACACACTTATGTATATAAAATATAATATTAATATTCCTTTTCTCTCACATTATACGTTCATGACAACAATCCATATTATATACTTAAATGAAAATTCAACCAACCATAATCGATTTATAATTTTAAATGCGACGACCCAACAGAAACCAACCCACGAATAAGTGCGCGCGCACTATTTGTACAGGAGAAAAGTGCAGCTGCTACTGCTTAGAGTAAGATGGCAATAATATTTTTTGTGCAGTAGAAACTTGTTACACGCAATGCATTCTTGCTGTGCCTGTGGTGGGTGAAAAAGATAAAGAGAGCGAAAGAGAGACTATTATTTATTCCCTGGAATATTTAGCTGGTTTATCCATTGAAGCAAGGTGGTCGCTGGTGGGGTGGTTTTTTAATACTGACACGTGGTAAGAACTGTACAGGTATGAACCAAAGTTAAGGAGTGAATAGACAATCGAAGCATTTTAATTGAAATAGCAATCATATCAACGTCGAATGTATTTCATGCGATATTACAAACTTCCAATGAATTTTGCTTTATTTTTTCACATTCATAATATTTACTTTAGATGACAAATCTACGCATTAACATTACTATCCCAACTTACATTATTCTTTAATTCCGATACTTGCAGGAAGAAAATCTTTAAATTTTTAGCTTTAAAAAAGCATTTTGTACTGTGTAGTAATAATTTTCTTAAAAGGCTGCTATTCATCAAGTTTGCATATGCGTACATTTTCGAAATCTGAAAACTTCCATGGCGGTCCTCTGTTCATTGAATATAAGAAGACTGCGCAACATGAGACACTGAAAACAGCTATAAATTATAGTTTTTCACATTCCTTTTTTTAACACTTATATCCAACGATACGCCCAACATTCACGTTGAGGAGAATTTTAAAAAAAAGTTTAAAAGCTATAAAGCATTAGATTGTGGAAATAGTTTGCATTCTTATTAACGGCGGATAAATCAATGATCAGATAGTTTAGGCTTCCGCAAAAGATTTTTATATCATGTTGGCGATTCTTGTCAACTTTTAAACTTCCTAATTTAATCTATTTTCCTCACTTCATGTTGAGAGTTCCGACACATAGTGTTTATGGAGTCTCATAGTAATATATCATCACGAGTGCAAGGAATAAACACCCATTTTTTAGAAACAAGTTTGTACCTCCACGTTGTCGAAAACCATTGGTTGTAGGTACGAGTGAGTCGGCAAGGTAATGGTCAAAATTAACGTTTATTATAAGTTTTACGAAAACTTCACTTATGCATATTTATTATATATATTAAAAACCAACATGAAAACTCTAATTTTGATCAACAGATTTCGATTAACTGGTTAAATTAGTTCACTATCGTTTAAAAATACCTCTTCGTTCTTTCTTTTTTTTTCCGAATACAGGGCATTCTATGAGTATAAATTGTCGTTTCAGTTAATATTTGGTTTTTAAATTTTTGGTCTTCTTTTTTTGCTTTTTACAAATGTATTTCCAAATTATAAGTCAATACATAAAATCTAAAAGCACAAAGAAGCTAAATGTTTCCATTACTGGGGAAAATATGCATACAAAATATGTGATGCATTTTTAAATAGTAATTTTCAATGTTACGAATAAAAGGAAAACATCCTTGTACTAATACTCTTCACCGATATATAACAAAAATAATAACGAAAAGGTTTTGCTCAATTAGTTTTTTGGCACAAATAAGTTAACAGTGTGAAAGAGTGTAGTAGATCGAACGCGACTGACTACCACCGAATACCAATGAACGGCACTTCATTTCGTTGCGTATCGCACAGCATTCGTTCTCTCAACTTTCCCAATATTTCGCTCGTTATTTAACGCACCAGGCGACAGTCTCTGTGAAAGCGGTTACAAGAAAAAGGTTATGTATTGAAAACATAATTAAAAGTAGGAATACCACAAAGAATTACAAAACATGTCGAACCTTTTGATAAGCCGGTAATCGCAGATTAATGCGGGATTTGGACGGCAATAACTGGTGTAGAACAGCTTAAGTTAATTTTTAAAAATATTTTTTCATCAAGTGCCAAAGCGCAAGAAGCGAATTAAAGTCATACGCTCTTCTTTTTTTACTTTATCTTAGGATTCCATTCCTTATCGTCATCACCGAACAAAGATACATCAACAAACAACAAAATTTTGTACATATCTGCGTATGTGTTTATTTGTATGTGCCTCAGAAGACTTATATCTTTTATCTCACCCAGGAAATTAAAAAACAAAATAAAATAACCACAAAGATTGCATAATCCCCATCTACAAAAATAGAGAATTGTTTCAAAAATAGAGAAAAATTGTGTATACAGCCCCAGGTAAAGAAGGGAAAGAATAATAGGTACATAAAAGAGAAAAAATATAGATATTCAATTTTGAAAATTATGGGGATGGCCATTCTCTAGAAATGGTGATTCAACCGCTGCGTGGCTTAAATAATTACGACGTGGTAAAAAAAACTTCAGGGAACTGAACTTCAGGTCATATCGTCAATACAATGGTTTTAACATCGATCTGTTGCTCAAACATTATCACTTGCTTATCTAAGAGCACATACTTCAAAAAAGTT